CAACTGGCTAGCTGGAGTTGGGGATATATGCAACGGCACCTCCAGAGGAACCGGCGAGGCTAATGCTACACCCCAATCCTACGATGACAAGCAAAGCATAGGAACGAGAAGGAACACGAAAGTGATCACGCATCGTAACGTTCGGAGCATACCCAACACTCGACGAAGTGCGCTACGCCGGCATTGCGACTTCTGGGACGCCGATCAGGACGGAGTGATCTACCCATGGGACATATTCATTGGCTTCCGTAAACTCGGCTTCAACATCGCGTTATGTCTATGGGCAGCGGTTACCATGGCTGTGTGCTCATCTTACAGCACCCAGAGTTCTTTCCTGCCGCACCCGCTCTTTGCCATCTACCTTGACAATGTCAACCGCAACAGACATGGAAGCACCACTGGTGCGTACGACTTAGATGCCGAGCTGGATACGCGACGCTTCGATGCGATATTCGAGAAATATGCGGGGGGCAAGGACTACCTGACCGGGCGAGATCTATACGACGTTTGGGCAGGCCAATGTTGCGCGAATGATTTCTTCGGATGGTTTGCGGGTGCCTTAGAATGTGAGTTGCGGCTCATCACCTAACGGACTGAGCATACGATACTGACATTTAACAGGGATAGCCATGTACATTTTGCTATGGCCACAGGACGGAAGGATGCGCAAGGCCGATATTCGAGGAGTATATGATGGTACCATTTTCTGGAGAATTGCTGAAACCCGCTCCCAGCGTTCACGGCCATGAGATTGCGGAAGCCCATGATTGGTTCCACTGGGACCATACACGACCCAGAAAATTTAATTTACCAACATCACTTTGGTACGACCACATTAGAGTTTTAATGTGACAAACTTAAGCAGCTAAACGAAACACACATTAACTCCCACTGTAATTCAGCGTCTGCCTGAATGTGTCCTCTCCATTAAATTGTTGTTGCAAGAATCAAACTTACGCTACGTCCCTTGACCTCTAAACTGGTAGTCTCGAGATTGCCACTTCAGCCCATAGATATACACCTTCTAGGGCCTGGATCGCCGCTACACAAGTTCCTGCCTCGATAGATTACCGCCGCCACAATGCGCCACCCCGAGCCCTGCCCATCCTCGGATCCCATCACCCCGATCAGTCTTGTCAAGACCCAAAAGCTTGCGCGAGACCGATATCGAGCCTTGAGCTGGAGTCTTTTCCAAGTACCTTCTTCTGACAGTTTTATACGCTTGGATACCCGCGATGATACGCCCGCACACGCCTTGCCGGACGAGAACGATGGATTCACTGTCGTGCGCCAGTATCTATACGATGTGCTCACCCACACAGGATGGGGTATAGGTTATGAGTGCCCTGCAGCGATAAGAGCAACGGTGGAAGGCTGGTATGGGCACGGAGGGTATTTCAAGGCGCAATTGGCAGAGAGAAATGGATTGTTGGATCTTTGTCCCATGAAAGGAAAAGATGGTGAAGGTGACGAAGTATACTTCGAGGACCAACTGAGAGACAAGATCAGGCAATGTGTCAGATATGAGAGCAACATGCTATTGTATCGTGAGGATGAGCTGGACGACGCGATGTCTGAAGCAGATACATGCGTGGGCGATGATACTCCTGATATCAGTGTACAGGAACGGGGTTACCAGGATTCCGATGGAAGCGAAAGCATATACTCGGTATTCCGACCGTCGATCGATCTCAACGAGGATGCAATGACCATTGCTGCCCATGAAGATCAAGATGACGACCCTGAACATTCAGCACCTCATGTACACCGCAGCGACAGCGCAAGGTTTTCGGGAACAGTCGGATCAAAGACACGGATCAGCAAAGGACTCGTATCATCCGACCCCGAGCCCAGAGTAAACGCGCCTTCCGAGATCACGCATGAACTCACTTTTCAGGTTCCTACGCCAAAAGTAGAGCAATCAAAGAAGAGGAAAGAACGGTCGCATGAAAGTTCAAGAGCCATGGATGAGCTGGTTGCAGGACGCAAGTCATCCATCAGCCATGCAGTGTGCAGCCAAGCCAACGCAACAACACCAGACTCGAAGTCTCAACACCAACCGAAAAACGAGCTACCTACTGCATACAAACATGCAAGATGTGGCGCCGTTGTACCCGCCGAGAAGCCCATGCCTAGCGTACGGCAGAGAAACCACAGAAAAAGCACGAAAGCCATCAAACGCCGGACACAGATGACCCACGACACAGCTTGCTCTGTTAGCTCGGTACGCTATGAGACACTGCCACAAAGTCAACCACCCGCAATAAAGGGGCAGCATCTTCTTGTCGAAGCTACGGCGGTGGCGAAGAGAGCGGTCGCTCTAAATCTCTGTGTTGTTGAGGCAAAGTACTTGAACCATCACGAGCGGAATAAACAGAGTCTCATGTCTAGGATATTTGCGAAAGTGGGCGGAAAGAGAGGGTGAACGTGTGGTTTCAGAGGGAAGAGGCAGAATACAGCGTGACACAATACCATCTCGTTTGTCACAACTATGAGTTTAAAGCCAGCGGCAACAGGAGTATCTAGAAACCTAACGAGTGGCACAATTGATGTTCATTCACTTCATTTCATGATCTTTTTGTGGCCTTGACTGTAACCCTTGCTATATACACGTCTTTTGATCTAGACGATTAGACCTCATGTCCGCAAGTAGCCAGGTGCATTTCTCCTTCCGCAGGCAGCGTCCATCTTGGCTCAACACCGATGATACCACGCTCAGTGATCATGCTGGCGTTCACTGGGCTCTTGGGAATGATCTGCTCACCCTTGGTGGCAAGGATGGAAAGTACGTGTGCAGCAGCCTATGTGTGTTAGCAGATGTTCTCACTGTGCAACCTGGTTTCTTGGTGCTTACCTTGGCGTTGATGAAAAGTGTCTCCGGGTTGGGGTTGTCAATGGTGTCGCAAGCTTGGTGGTAGCAAGGATCTTGCTCGACACCAGTTCCAGTGTGGAGGCCTCCAACAGGCTTGCCAATGTTCATGAAAGATTGGTAGTCACTTCCACCGGTGAAGCGTGCGGCTGTCACGTTTACTCCCTCCTTCTGGAAATGCTCAACGAAGAGCTTCTCGATGGCTGCTGATCCTGGCGCACCCGTGAGGTTGAAAGTGCTGCCATCACCATCGAAGACACCAAAGTAGCCGCGGGAAACCATGTCGAAGTTGAGGTATGTAAGGATGTTGTTCGCTTCTGTGGCGTTCAAGTTCTGTGTGTAATACTTGGATCCAAGAAGACCGTTTTCCTCCGCGCCCCACCATGCGAATCGGACCTTGTTCTTGACGTTGTATCTCCTGAGCGCCTTGGCAATCTCGAGGATGAGTGTGCTGCCTGAGCCGTCGTCGTTGATACCAGCGCCGGCTTGTACACTGTCAAGATGCGCACCGAGCATAATGACGTTAGTTGGGTCACCGTCTTTGGTCTCGGTGAAGACGTTCTGTGTGATGCGTGTTTCTACGGTCTGGGTCTGCTGGAAGTACGCTTCGATAGCTTCGCCGGCCTTGAGGCGTGCGACGAGGGGTTCAGCGTCGGCGAGGTTAATGTAGCCGGTTGACACGTATTCGGGGTTAGGGTTGGACAACGTGCCACCGGTAACATTCGCAGTGTCGCTTGCGTAGATGATTACTGCAGAAGCACCAGCGGCAGCGGCAGGCTTCATGCGCCCAGCGAGGGTAGTACCATCAGGGCAGGCCCCTCTTTGCACCAAAACGATCTTGCCCTCAACATCCAAGTTGTCGTAGGCTTCGTTTGTGCAACCTTCGGGTCCAGAGGCGCCCAGTACAAGCGGGAGCGTCAATCCTTCCGGAGTGGTCGATGGCGAGTAGGACAATCCAATGACACGGTAAGAGCTGTTGCTCACACTGAATTCAATTGACTCAATCTTATTGAAAAGAGCCGGGAAATCCTGAGTCCATGTCTTGAAGTGTGTGTTCTGGGTTTTGGCGAGCATGTAGTCAACAGATGCAGCGTAGCCCGGAAGACCGAAAGCACGGTTGCCGCCATTTGCTTTTGCGATAGAGTCAAAAGCTTTGAGGTTACCCATCAACCTGAAAAAGTCAGTGTGCCGTCGAATCAACGAATAGACGTCCATACTTCTCAGTCTTGATCTCAGCCTGGATTGGTCCAGATGATACCATAGGCCGGGGTCGCACAGCAGCGAATGCTTGCGCAGCGCCCGCAAGGACGATAGCACTGGAAACCTTCATGTTGTCACTCTAATCGGCTAGCTTCTCCAGGATCCAGATGTGACGAGCGTGCGAGTAACGTCGCCCATGTTTAGGTGGCGGCACCGAACTCATATACGCATGTTTCCCGCCACTGGACGTTCCGGCTTCTTGGGTAAATGCAGCTTGTTTGAGCGCGGGACACCGTGCCTGGCCCACTCTTATCATCGTCTTGCAGGTGCTGTGTCCGGAAAAGAAGGTCACAAGAGAGTAGATCGGTCTTTGCCAAGTTGCCAAGGGGCAGACATTGATACCTGCCCAAAGGGCGATAGACTGGCTTGGCGGGAAGGTTACCATCGTCACGAATCCTGTCTCTTCTATCGCAAGGTGACCAGAGAAGTCGATATATCCGAACGGTCTCTGGTTGACCGATTGAAAGCGATGCAAGCTTCACCGATGAGTACGTTCCGTGTCATGGCTCCTGGGTATTGGTTGTTGGCGTGTCCGAGCGGCGAACTGAATATGAATCCGGGACTATGATCCATGATAACAGAGAACTGCGACTGGAATACTTTTGGTGAGTTCATGCGGCTGAGTTGGATCCCAAAGTTGCGAAGAATGTGATGTGTCTTATCTTGACTTGAGTGAGGCGACGCCAGCATATATAGCTCGCGAAGGGCGCGAGTACCTCGATGTCAAGGTCCGTCTCTGGGCGCTTCCAAGCCCATGAACAGAGTAAGCGTAAGGAAGCGTACTCGGTAAGAAGTCTGTATCGAAGAGAAATGTGAAAGTATTAGAATTATCAGGCGAGATTGAATATCAGTGGTATCAAGGATCAGGATATCATCTTTCACCATGCAGCAATGGCGCTCGCTCGCTATCACCAGCAACGCCGCTCCCATCGACATCAGCAAGCTGCTGGTCTCTCTGCTTCTTTCTATCTCTCAGAACGAAAGACAACCCCATAGCGAGTAGGAAACCCTGGAGGATGCCCGTAAAGATGAACAAGCCCCAAGCACTCCAGCCTCCAGGTCCTAGCCTCGCATATAGACTTGCGGCAAAGACGAAGCTCCCCGGTGTCTGAATGCACATCATAGGGATGGATAGACTTCCGGTTTCCTGTAGTCTCCAAGTCATGAGGATCTGTGGTATGTATTGTATAGCGGCAAGGACGGTAGCAAGCAAGCCGAGGAAGTTTGCCCATCCGCGAACGTGTGAAGGGAGCGCGTATACGAAAACGACGGAGCCGATGAATGCGACGACGAAGAAGGCGAGCGAAACACCTAGGACGAGGACGGCCTCTTTCCATGTGGGCATGTCGGTATCTTGTTCTTCTTCTATAGCTGGTGAAGTGGCTCGAGGGAAGAAGATGAGGAAGAGCAGCATGCTGTCAGTTGTTAGTGTCTAGTATGCTGGACGGTTGAGAGTGTCGTACATGAAGAAGAAACAACTCCACTGCACCCCGATCTGTACTATCCCGAGCATAGCTGCGGCGCATGGAAAGCTTCCAATCTCCTTACAACATCCCATGTCCCTCGTGCTTTCCGGTAGGGTCAAAATGTTCGCGATGCTAGCGGTTCCCGACACAGTCCCTAGGAGGACAAACATGGGGCTCAGACCACGCGATGACCGACGCGATATGATCTTATAGTGCTGTGGAAGGTAGGATACGAGTATTCCGAGGACTATGAAGCTACGCGACGGTGATTAGCTGTGTTGACATGCGACGAACAGGGCAGGCTTACACGGAGACGCCAAAGTTGACCAGGTCGGGATACGCGAGTTCGGTGCATCTTGGGTCGTCTGAATACATCGTGGCGGAGTAGATTGTTGTATACGAGAGCGTCTTGCTGCTACATTTGCTATGACTGAAGCGCAGTGGTGTCAGTTGCCGCCTGGGGAGCATGTGACGTAGGAAGGAGCTCACGCGTCGAGCGGACGCGGAGGTGACGGCTAGCCCCGAGCGCTCCTGCCTCGGCTGCGCGTACCTGCCGCATCAACTATCGCGAAGCCGACGATGCCACAACACTCATCAACCCCAACCCCATGATCATCCGAACTCCCAGTCCCTCTCACAGGCCGACATGGAGTTCCTCCCCGCCCTCCAGCATGGCATAGACGACCTCAAGCCCTCGCTCTTCGAACTCCTGTCCGAGCAACAGCTCGCATCGCTCCTGCCCCCGTCGCTGCGCTACCTCCTCGCCATCACAACACCCCGATATCCACGCTACCTGCTCCCCATACTCAATTCCTTCGATGAAGTCTACGCGCTGCTGATGCTGCTCGTGGAGCGCCACTTCCTTCGCACATACGGCGGATCATTCACCGAGAACTTCTACGGGCTGAAGCGCGCCCGGGTGTTGAAAGTGCGAGGAGGTGAGATACCGCGCGCACAATTGGGCGCATCGGACAGCGTACGAGAGGCTGTAAAGCTGGGCAGTGGCGATATATGGAAGAATCTCGCCGTCCTGGTCGGCCTCCCATGGCTGAAGAGGAAGTTCGACGAGGGCTACGATGTCCACGCTGCGCATGCCAACCTTTTGGGACCCGGGTACAACCGTGACAGAGAAGGATTAAGAGCAGGGGCCAGCGTGAAAGAGAGGCTGATGCACTACTACAAGTGGTTTCTACGCAACATATACCCGAGTGTCAATGCCGCCTACTACTTCTCCTTGCTGGCCTTCAACATGGCCTACCTCTTTGATGGGACCAAGTATCATTCGCCATTCATGTGGCTGATTGGTTCGCGTATACGAAGACTGGGAGAGGCGGATCACAGGGCGATTGAGATTGCGACAGCGCCGAGTAAGGTTGGCCCGGCGCGGCCTGGAGAAGGCGGATCTATCTTCTCGCCAAGAAACATTGCGAGGAGTATAGAGCCGCGCTTGTTGAGTTCGCTGAAGATTCTTCTTCCAACCAGTATCTTCGCGCTCAAGTTCCTAGAATGGTGGCATGCTTCAGACTTCGCCCGACAGCTATCGAGGAAAGCCGCTGAGAACATCGACTTACCACCGCCAATATTACCTTCGTTACCGCCATCCGCGAAGCAGCAACCTTCGAAACAGGGAGAGTCTTCCGAGAAGGCACGTCCGACATCGTCTTTGTCGGACCAACCTCAACGCATCGACCCTCCAATATCCTCAACCACTCTCCTCCCAATCCTCACTGTACCCTTACCACCATCATCAACGTTATGCCCCATTTGCATAACACCCATCGTAACACCCACAGCCTCGCCTACGGGATATGTCTATTGCTATACTTGCATACACAGGTGGGTGGGGGGTGATCACGACCGCCAGGTCGCCTTCATGGAGGGTGCTGCAGGATTTCGAACGGGTGATGATGGAGAAGCAGAAGATGAGGGCTGGGGTAGGGAAGAGGGAAGCAGAGAGGGAAGATGGGAGAGCGGTAAAGGAAGAGATGCTATTACTGGAAGGAGGATACTTGGTGGCACTGAAGGTTTGCGAAGAGTCGTTGTTTAGAGTTATTTTTGCGGCACATCATACCCCTTAGCAATCATTCCACAAGACTAGTAATGACTTGTGACTACTTCTAATTTACTCCGGACTTTTGTTGTCGTCGTGTTCGAAAAAAAAAAACCCTCTTTACATATCGTGCCTTTCGTTTGACGCTGAATCATTAAGAATATTCGGTGACGTGATCGGGGTCTGGCGTGGTACGAGCCGATGAGGCATTCCACCTTTGGTTGACTGTGCGCACGCGCGCTAGGTCGCGAAAATCAGCCTCAGCCGACGATATCCTGCAAAGATCAGCCGGCCTTCAACCTGCCGCAACCGCCGAATAGTCATAATCGTGCAGGTTAGAGTCACGACGTGCGCCCTTTACTGCCGCTTGTCATGTATCTAAGCCAGGGCGGAAGCTAACACTATCTTCCAAGATTCGCTTGCAGCTGCCGCATTAGACCATGCATACGCATTCTGTCAGCCAATGCAATAGTCATATGCGAGGCCCATATCAGTCATTCCCCACTCTTTGACTTTCTGGTAGCCCTGCCCTCTATATTTCTTCATTCTTCTTCACCAACATATCTATGAGTGGGCGGCGCATCTGATCTTAATTCGCGCTTCAAGCCCATCAGCAATGGCGCCACCAACAATACCAGCAGAACATTCTGTCAACGATTTCGCAAACGATGTCGCATCTCAAATGGAGGGCTTCACTCAGTCACAGGGTATAGCAGAAGAGGCTATTGCACGAGATCGCGAGGAAGACGAGTCTGCATCAGAGGATGACGATGAGTCTTCCTCGGGTTCGGATAGAATCCGGCAGCAATATTCCATGATAAATTCTTATCGCCGGCCTTCCTGGGTCAACCCAGGATCACGATCCACCGCCATAATATCTTCCAGCGTACCCGAAAGGAGTCATCTACCAACGTCATGGAAGAAACACAGTCATCTGTCGAAGAAAGAGAGGGAGACCATGCGAGACGAAGAGCGGAGTCTGCTCCGCGACAACCATCTGATTCCGCCCAAGCACCCAAGGGCTGGAAGCGAGGGACCTTTTGATCGAGTGCGATCTAGAATGTCAATTTCAGGACTGCGAAAAGTTAAGAGCACGCCAGACGAGGAAAGCGCAGTCGAATCACCCTCCGAGCGAACAGCGCTATTGGGAGCATCTGAAGGTGATCCAGGCCAACCATACGGGGGGTTGGACTCACCCAAGACAATCAACAAGAAATGGAACGAGGCGGTTGCAGCAGGGAAGATCAACACGAGCTGGCAGCGAGAAGCTAAAGTCTTAACCAAGAGTTCCGCACCGCTTATCTTGACATTCCTACTACAGTATAGCCTGCCGGTAGCGAGTATCTTCACCGTCGGACACATTGGCAAAACCGAACTAGGAGCTGTGAGTCTGGCGAGTATGACGGCGTCGATAACGGGCTATGCAGTATACCAGGGTCTAGCAACTTCGCTCGATACCTTATGTGCACAAGCATACGGCTCAGGACGTCCCCATCTCGTTGGTTTGCAATTGCAACGCATGTTGTACTTTCTTCTCTTGATCACCATTCCGATATCGCTCATATGGGCTTTCGGAACACAGATCCTCTCGCTCATCGTTCCAGAAAAGGAAACGGCACGCTTAGCCGGACTGTACTTGAAGGTTCTCATCTTCGGAGCGCCCGGCTATGCGGCCTTCGAAAGCGGAAAACGCTATGTACAGGCGCAAGGTATCTTCAGCGCGACTATGTACATTCTGCTCATTTGCGCGCCACTCAACGCTTTCCTCAACTGGTTCATGGTGTGGCATCTTGGCTGGGGATTCATTGGCGCACCCATTGCTGTTTCCATAACAGAGAACATCCTTCCTCTGCTATTGTTTCTCTACGTCAGATTCATAGACGGATACCAATGCTGGGGTGGTTTCGATCGACGAGCGCTCAGGAACTGGATGCCGATGGTGAAACTTGCGCTTCCCGGCTTGATCATGGTGCTTGCCGAGTTTCTGGCTTTTGAGATCTTGACGTTGAGCTCATCGTGGCTTGGCCCAACTGAACTTGCGGCGCAGTCTGTGCTGGGCTCGATTACCGGCATCACCTTCCAAATACCGTTTCCCATGAGCGTGGCAGCATCCACGCGCATCGCTAACCTCATCGGCGCTACTCTGGCAGTTCCAGCGAAGACAGCAGCCAAGGTGGCCGTCTTTGCCTCGGTCCTTGTCGGCATCTTCAACTTACTACTCCTTTCGCTCCTTCGCGAGGCCATTCCCCGGCTTTTCACACCTGACGAAGAAGTCATAGACATGGTCGCAAAGCTCCTACCGCTATGCGCAACTTTCCAGGTCTTTGATGCGTTAGCAGCCAATTGTAACGGTATCTTGCGTGGCTTGGGCAGGCAGGAGATTGGTGGCTATGTTGGATTGTTCGCCTACTATATCGTTGGTATCCCGATCAGCTTCGGCACCGGATTTGGATCACCACATTGGGGTCTGTATGGGCTTTGGAGTGTAAGTTGCGCTGTTCACGATTAATTGAAAATGCTAACGTCGCATAGGGACCTGCGATTGCTCTTGGCATAGTGGCTGCCATTGAAGGTGTATTCATATGGCGAACAAGCTGGGATAAAGCAGTTGAAGATGCGAAGGTGCGGAATGCTGCAAATTAGGAATGGCTCTATGCGATGAAAAGTGTATCGCTGCATAACCCTAGTGTTCAATGATAAACGAGAACGAGAAATTGCATTGATGTCATGTGTCTTCATGGCGTGTCTAGTGCTGAGTTGCATGCTTCTAAGTAATACATTGGGTGAAATGAATGATGGTATGCTTGGAGATTTCTATTGCCGAATACGAGTGAGTGACTGGATTTTGTCTCCTTGCAATAGTGGTGTAAACTTCTGTAATGACTGCTGTCTACCTTCCGCCTCCTACGGTATGCCTGAAAAGTCCCGTTTTTTTATTGTCTCGGCGCTCAGTCAAGAAGCTTCTGGGCCCACTGTGCACTCTCATACCAAGCGCGAATCTTCTTGCCGAAGACATAGAGTGGAAGTGCTGCTCCCGTAACAATAGCAGCGGCCGATGCTAGTGTTCCGAAGACTGCCATAGGTCCAGCAGTGTCAAGCCAGCCAATCATCGGAGTGATGCCAACAGTGACAGCACCCGCGGAGATCATGTTGATGGAGGAGAAAGCTTGAGCAGAATGCTCGGGGTGACAGTCGATGACATAGGCGATGGCAATCTGCACACCAGCGACACTACCCACGTTGGTGACTGTCATCCAGACGAGAATCCAGACTAGGGGCAGACTGTTCTGGAAAGAAGCACCCAGACCTATCAAGCCGACCATGGTGATTGGGGTCGAAAGCAAGAGGAGTACGAGGCGGAATTCGGGCTCGACCATGCCTTTAGTGGTACCGTTGTGGCGCGCCATCAGGCCAACCGAGGCGTCAGACATCCAGCCGAAGAATGGTCCAGACAGCAGACCGACCACAAATAGAGGCAAGTTGGTCAGACCGATCTGACTGGGTGTCAAATCGTATGGAGGAGATGACAACAGAATTGACATGAAGGTGGACATGCCAGCCAGGAACAGGAATACTGTGGTGTTGAGAAAGCAGCTGTAAAATACGATGGGTGAGCTGATGAGGCCAAGGGGCTTGATAATGCCTTTGAAGAACGATTTATCCGAGAGTCGGCCGCGAGACAGAGCTAGCTTCTCGTTGTATGTCTGCCTTGCAGGTCGAACAGAGGCCTTTAGATCTTCCTCGTCCCATTCTGCGCTCAGCTTATCGGCGGGCACGTGGATTGTTGTGACATCGTCCGTCTTACGGTTGAAGTAGGCCGACTCGAAGATTGTAAGGTAGAAGACGGGGATCAGAGCTGAGTAGATGAGGGCGGTGATGAGGAAGTTGGCGGAAACGCCGAACTGATCGGTGACAAAACCGGCGATGATTTGACTAAAAGGGGCCTTTGTTAGCAGCTAGAGAGGTGACGGATTACTGTTATATAACTCACCCAACTTGAGCTCCAGAGTTCAGCATCAGATTCCACACCGCGATAGATCGACCTCGTTGGTGAACGAAGAAAATGTCGCTGATCGTTGCGGTAAGGAGGGTGAACAAAGGTGCAGAGAAGAGACCACCAGCTGTTCGAGCGACGGCTAGCATGGGGAATGTTGAAGAAAGGTAAGCCGCGAGGTTGGCTAGAGCAAGCAGTACAACGCTCCAGATGTAGAACGGTCTTCGCCCCCAAACATCCGTTCCCGCAACCGCGACGAAAGCTGCGGCTGAAGTCCAGAATGTTGGTGCTGTAAGCAGCCATGTCGACACATCGCCCTCATTGCTCTGGATCTTTTCGGTGAGCGGCTCCAAGCCTGGGGTAAGCATAGTTGTGGTTCTATGATAGATGAGCGTAAGGATTTGCCAGTCCAATCCGTATGAGAGAGACTTACGCGTTCGTGACTGCAGATCCAAAAGCGAGAATGAGCAGATGAATGCATTTCCACTTCAAACTCCAGTTCAGAGGGTCGTTTGGGTCGTCGGACGGTTGAGGGGAGAGTACAATGCCTCCATTCCTTTTGGAGGTATCAAGTTCGGGTACCTTGTCGTCGCTCGTATCCTTGACCCCTAATCTAGAGGTACCCCGAGGAAATGCTGACCGCTTGCTTTCCAATACACCCCAACCCATGATGACCGGCTTTGATGTTCAAATGGAGTTAATGCGGAAGGGACGGCCCGCGTCTCTTGAAGATCGAATGCGAAAGGTAGCAAAAAGAAGAGAAAATGCCGTCCAGCGGTTTGCCAATACCAGCAGGCGACGAAGCGAAAAAAAGTGCAAGTAGAGAGAGGTGAAGGAGAAGTCGAGAACCAGTCTACAGAACAAAATACAAATCGCTAACCACCATGATATATATCCATCACCATATCGTAAACTGCCCAGCCGGACGTTTTTCACGATCAGCAAACACGTTACGCATCCGACAGGTCGGGTTAGGCATAACTCGGCCGTTCGTGACGCTGCG